CACACACACACACAGAGTGCAACTGTGCGGCTCCAGCGGAAGATGGGTGTGTGGGCACTTGCCGCTAACCACACAAATGTGGGCAACCTTGCATCTTCTAATGAACTGCCTTTATACCTTTTTTGCTTTATGGATGGTTTGTGATGATTTGTGGTTGGAATGAGGAGAGAATTTTGGGATCTTTGAAACACACACACACACACACACACACACAGGTGCAGCTACTTGTGCTGCGTTTGCACGACTAGCAGCCGCCCTGAGCACAATTGAGGCTGATCAGCTTCCGATTCCCACATCTGGTCCACCCAGTTCTTACCCACCTGACCCGCCACTCTCTGATCCTCCTAGCTCCACTCACTCCTCTGCCCCAAATGACAATGACCCTTCTCCTGATTACCTGATGGAGCCCCCGGTTGAAGATCATCTCTCTCAGGAGCACATACTGGAGCCAATTGGTCAAGACCACAACAAGTCTCTGCCACCTGTGCAACCTGCAGAATTGAATGAGGATCCCCCTGCCGTGAACGGATCCCCCACGCAACCTGCGGAATCAGACAATGTCATAGAGCTACAGCGAGGGCGCTGTGCGTGCTATGCCATTAATGTATATCTCCTTGCTTACAATTGTAATCCTTATACTGTTTCTGATTTCGCAGACGTTGTTCGCTGTATAGAAGAGCAGCACCGTGCCGTCTGCCCAGAGGACGACAGCACTGCGCCTGGTGTGAACATAGACGTCCTGGCTATGGCATTTATGGGTAGGCGACTGCAATTCCAGCCTGCTCCGCAAAACCACGTGCCAGGCAGGGATCCAAATATTCGGGCATATATCTTATATCGTCCAGGTCACTTCAGTGCTCTCACCTTTGCAGATAATTCATGGACCCTATGGTGGCGGTAGGGTGCACACAGTGGGAAATATCAACTCTTTCTATCACCAAATGCTGGAGGATCACTCAGTCTGGCTCGTCCATCAGGAACAGTATGTCGATGAGCACTTGCAAGCACTGGAACCCCCGGAGAGCAATCCGACCGATTCTACCACAAACAGTGAAAGGACCTGTCCACAGGATGATGGCTGTGCCCTCCTGTTGTGTCGTCGCACAGGTGCAGTTCGGTTGGCATGTACACGGCATAGCCTCTGCTCCGAACACTATGAAGGGATGGTCGCTGCTAGCCTCTCACATGAAAATTGTGATCCCCTGTCCTGTGCTCATCCCCCCCATCCCCTGATTACTTGCCCAGCATGGCGTTGTGGCCTTGATCTGCCATGCTTAAATAACTGTGCACGTCAGCCTTCCATACTAATGACATGTCAGCAACATGCCATGTGTCGTCAATGCTTCCAGGAAGCTGCCATAGAAAGTATGTGTCTTTCCTGCGTGGACTATCCCCGGTGCCATCACCCTCCACATCCTCTCCTAGCATGTCCCACATTCGGTGTTGGTCATACACCTATGGCAACCGCTGATGGATCTCCCTCTTTCTTGCCAGACGAACGACGGACACAGCAGTCCGAGGAGGAAAATAGACTTCTATATGAACCACCAGGGCAGAGCGATGTGCTCATAGTTTATCACCACCAGGGCGAGCTGTTGCGCATCAAATCCTA